AACTCTTCTGAGAGTTACTCTGCTTATTCTTTTTGTCTGCAATATAATTACACTCAGTAACAGGGCCATTCAGCTTGAACCTGTGTTTACAGAACCTGTTTTGCTCTGTGTAATTTTGAATTTGGTTAAGTGGCTAATAGTAGGAGTCAGTAATTGTTGTGGCATTGTTTAACTCATTTTCAGTTACTTTTGCCTCCTGAATACTTAAATGCAAATCCTTGTTAATTAGCCTGATTTTTTTTAAATTGTGTAATTTAATATTTTAAAATTTAATCTAAAAGTTATTCAACTATTGTGTCAGAGATCAGCAACACTAGTGAAGAACTTCTAAAATCATAGATAGTGTTTCTTTCCAAAGATAAATCTTACCCAATTTCGTAAATTCTGGTCTTAAAATCTGACTGCTTGTTCAACCTCAAGAGGGTACTGGAGTCCTTTTGAGAACAAATCCTTCTAACATCTCCCATTTGACAAACTGAGAAAAGTATGCTGCCTTCTTTTTGCAAGAAAATTGAACAAGTGGATCCTGGGGGGGAAAAAAGTTAAAGACGTGGCAGACTCTCTTCTTCTGCATGAGTTGCTGGCTTGTTGGGTTTCAGCACAGCTTTTCATAGTTCCTACCTACTTCATTTGCAAATACACTGGAACACGGTGTCATTCCTAGGGGAAGCCATCGTGTCTGCCTGCTTCGATGCCCAAAGTCAAGACAGTCCTAACAGTTTTATTTCACAGTTGAGTGAGAGAGATGTTGCCATTGGATCCATTTGATCTATTCCAATTAGTTTGAACCAGCTCTAGGATATAAACCTCACAGCCCAGCAGGATGGGTGTAAAGTGACTACAGCGTATCTTCCTTACTTTAGATTAATGCTTTAAAATGTTCTTTTGTTTTGATTAGCTGAAGAATAGAGGAATGGCAAATTTCTGTTTTGATTATAACCCTACAAATGAACATCAAGTAACTGGACACAGGATCATACTGTACCCATGTCATGGCATGGGACAAAATCAGGTAAGATTCATGTTTTATTTTCATTTTGACTAACGCTGTAGTTATGATGTAAAAAGTATGGTAAAAAACATTGCAGTAGGGCTTAGAGAATATGTTGCCACAGTGAGGTGATATTACATCTAATTTTGATTCTCACACTGGATGCTTTTAATTTTGATGTTTCTTGAGGCCAGACATAGGGTAAAAGGTGAAAGCAAGAGAGAAGTATAATGCATAGGAAAATAGTTCTTCTGAGATTACATTTTTAAAGTTACCCTTTGTTTAGCTAGCACTAAAAGATTAACTGAATTTACTGCAGAGATACCGCATCACTGGATATTAATGCTCTTACGTCTCTGCTGATGGTGCAGTGGATCCCCGTGCCTGTGATAGCGAGCACCAGGCTGAGAGCAGCGGTGCTGTCGGAGCTGTGCAGTTTGTGCTCCCTCTGCTGGCATCCGGCGAGCAGGAGGAAGGAGAAATGGAGAAACTACCTGACTGCAATACAAACCCATAAAAGAAAACATGAGATGACACAAGAGAATTGCAGAGCCTGAGGAGGGAAGGCCAAACACAGGAAATGGGCAAAACAGTATCAGTGAAATGGGCAAAAGGCATGGGAGGGCTGACAAGAGCCGGGGAAAGGAGGCCAAGCTGACAGAGGGCAGAAGACGTTTGGGACAGAGGTAGGGCAACAGGCGAGGAGCAGGGCATGTGTGACAGAGGAAGGAGTAGTTAGGAGCTACAGGGAGGGAGCGTGAAACAAGCAGAAGCATTGGAGACCCCTTTAGCAGAAAGGGGCAGGGGGACTGAACGTGGGAGCAGAGATACCAGTTGGCAAATGGGGCCATGAGTAGGGGTGACAGGTAGTCGTTGCAAGAGAAGAAGTGGACAGCAGGAAGAGCTGTGGGTGGGGGAACGGAGGGAGGCTAAAATAAGACAAGACGTAGAAGCACAAGTGAGATGGGAAATGGAAGTCAGGATTGCTGAACTGGCACCTCCTTTTTCTGGCTCACAAATAGCCGTGAAACCTACCAGCAGGACATTTCTCTCCATTTCTTTCCTGTCCCCCCCGCCCTTTTGACAGCCATTCTTAAAAGGTAACAGGCTGCTCCTGGTGGTGTGAATTCCTTAGCTCAGTTGGCAGGTGACAGTGGCAGGACCGAAACAGTCAAATCTCCCAAATGTACATCCACTGCTGTCAGCTGATGGAACTCATGGTGACAAGGTTGGTCATCCTCTAGTTGTGTCAACACTAAGGAGAGCAAGGCACTTCACCACAGATGTTTTCTGACAACAGGCAGCCCTTAACTTCTGTTTTGTCCTTGGAAGGGAACCTGCCATCCTAATCCCAAGCTCTTCTGCCTGCTCTCCTCTGGTCTGCTCTCATGACTCCACTATATACACTATATACCTATATACCTATATACACTATATGCCTATATACAGCTTTAGCAGCCAACCCTCATTACAAAGCTTCGCTCTAGTCCCCTGCCCTGCACTACATATCACAGACAGCTCCTCCACTCTGTGCTATTTAACACTTTCTTTTCCATGCTGGCTGGCTCTCAGTCTTTCTCTAATGCCCTTGCTCTGTCTCTCCCCTCACTTATTCGTCCCACCAGTTACTACCCACCCTAGGTCACGTTTTGCTCCTTTTCACATGCCTTTCTTCTTTCCTGGCTAGCTCCCACTTTTAATCCTCTGGTCTTCTCCTCATCCCTTCCTCCAGTTGCAGAGTTCGTTCCACCATTCATCACTTTTTTCCTCAAATAGTACTCCCTGCTGCAATTCACACTGTCTCATCGTATAAAGGAATGAAGTTTATTCTCCACAGTATAGCTCAGTAAAGTTACTCTCCAAAAACATCTTGATAGGATTTACCATTAATGAAGGTTAACTTGGTCAGCCATATGTGTCTTGCACTCCAGTACACCCATCCTCTGGCATGATATGCTAGTGGCAGGTGGCTGTTAATGTAAGAGACAACTGCAAAAGCTCTTTTCACTGGAAGCAATTCTCCACTTAAAGTGACCTCTGAATATTTGTGTGCATTGTGCCGAGAGGAGAGAGCTCTGTGCTCTCAATTATTTATAAAGTCCAGCACCTGCTCCCATTTTATGTCTTAGTAAGTAAAACCACTCTCAGAAAACTGAGGTCCCTGGTAATTTGTTTCTATTTTTCCTTGAATCCATGGCATAAGTGAGGGGGTTCCCTTTAGTCCTTTTGAATTGCTGCTGTGTAAGCAGTAAGAAAGCTAGCTGTGGGTTGTTTAAAATTAGCACATTCATTATAGTAAGAAGGTGAGGATACGACTGCGGTGATAGGAGCTGAGTGTATATGGAAGAGAGACAGAAAATACGCAAAACACTGGCTACTCAGTGCTTGCACCTCAGGCTGCTGATGTTTTGTGGAAGTGTCTGCCCTGGTAGACGAGAATGAAAGGCTTTGAAATTCAACACCAATAAAGCCCATTCCCCTTCTTGGTATGGCTGGGAAGCAGTAGAGAGGGGACCAACATGTGATGGCAGGAAGCTGACCTGACATGGTAAGAGGATGGGAAACCACTGAGCAGCCCGCTTTGTCTGATAGTACCCCCCCAATATTCCCATTTGCAGCTGATAGATTTGAGGCAAACAGGGAGGGGCAAACAGAGAGCTTAGCAAAGCCCTCAGGGGTATCAGACCTGGTAACCTCGCTGCTGGTTCTCCCACCCAGAAAGTACCTGTCAAGTGCAAACTGCTTCCTGTGTGTAGAAGAG